GGCTGTGATGGCTACTCTAAACGAGAGAACTACTTATCGATTGATGATGTAATGAAAGATTGTGCGATAATATATTAATCTTTAGTCGAAATATCAAATGAACGACAAGTGAGGCAAAAATGGCTTGGCACGGAACGTGTTAAGTTCTTTCGATTTCGAGGAGTGATTTACATTTTTCTCACCGAAGACGAGACGTTTCGTCAAAGCTGACACGATCGGATACAGAGTAAACGAGGACGATAGCGTCCGCCCATCGTAATTTCAGTTCAGACGGAGGTGATAGATATCCTGGTGGATCAGTTATCTCCCACGATGCATCCAGGAAGCTATCTACCTTGTAAATCCTCTCGACAGTACAGTCGTATTCCCCTATGTATCGTCTGGTCACGAATCGCACTGCCAGGGCTAACAGTTAATGTCAATGTTAATGTTATCCAAAGTTACATCGCGTGCCGTGTGTTACATTTGATCTGATCGAAACTTCGAAATTTCGAGACTTCGATGTGAACAGATGTCTCGAGATTGATGTTTCGATTGATGAAAAGCTCTTGGATACGATTGCTTACCAGTTTTACCGACACCCTGATGGCCCAGCAGGATCACTCTGATAATCTTCGGATCCTTATTGGCGAGGCCAAGATTCCAAGCTATCGGAGGGCTGATCCTTTTCTTCAACGACGCAGCTGGTGGACTGAATCTCTCCATGACTTGACTGCCACTGCAGTTTCTCCCCGGGGTGTCTCATCGATTATGTGCGCTTCTCTTTTACCCGCTGGTATTTAATAGTTGCGTTTCACCCCTTTTTCTTCCGATTGACCTATAAAATTGATCCATTTGATAACGTAACTGCGAAAGATGGACTTTTTTTTCTTCCTATCTTACTTGACAATCGTTTCATCTTTTATTCCCTTCTCAACCGGCAACGTTCGAAATAGAAAGCTTATCAAATCTGGAATATCCGAATTCGCTCGATAATCAATTATTCGAGTGAAAGAAAGAGAGAGAGAGAGAGAGAGAAAAAATGGGATCATACGATCACGTGGCGACTCTGTATCGAGATTTTTATCGTATCTTGCCACAAGTGAACGAGAATTGAAGAAAAATCGAAAAGAATCTCTTGTCGATCGTTATACACGATTTTCTCAATCTCGTTATCATCCCGTGAGTCATCTGGTGTCCGGTGAAGATCGCAGAATTCACACACACACACACACACACACATAGAAAATTTTCAGCAATTTTCAAACGCTCCCGGCCTTTTCAAATGCGCGTTCACGTGGCTCTCTTGGGATATCGAGGGAACGAGAGGTCGTTATACACGAACTTAATCAAGATGCGCGGTATCAGTGTGTGCGTG